TCAATTCTTCGACGATCAGCCTTCTTTATGGTCCAGCTCTCACTTCCATACATTCCATACAAGAGAAAATATAATTTGTGTTATTTCTTCATTGCAGGATGCCATTGGGAGTACGGACATTGGGGCCAGAATATGCTGATTGCAGCAATCATAGCAACCACCGGTGCTATTTTTTTCTGGGGAAAGAGGTGCTGGAACTCACTGTGAACACCTCCCTTGTTGTCTTAGAATGGCAATGGTGCCCACCTGAGAGGTGCCGGAACTGAGTTCCGGCAGGGGGAAATGCTCTGGCAACCACACAATCACTTGGTTCCCTTCAGGTTCTGGTCCCAGGGCCAGTTTCTGAGGGAAACAGGGTAGGTCACGGTAGCAGGCCGTGTGGTGGGGCAGCGGCCCTCACGTCATCTCCTGACAGTGGAGTTGTTACTGCTTCTTCAGGGAGTTAGGGGACTACACCTCAATACCTACCCTTCCCAATTAGCAAAGAATTACATCTGTTCCCTAAAAGTCGATGGGTAGATCACTGCAGAATCTGAGCCATAGGAGAGATCTCGAGGGAAAGAATCCTATCATTGCTGCCGGGACAAGAAAAACTAGGAAGACGAGATGCATGAGCCACATCAAAGGAATGGAATCCTAGCATTGCTGATTGGTGTGAGATGTGCAAGGAGGAGATCTCAACAGAAGAAAGGAAAAATTGGTATGGGGTGATCCTTGTTTCAAACATGAGTTTGACACTCTTCCTCTCAGCTGTGCAGGGCAAGGAAGGCACTTCTGCAATCCTTCCTTTAGGACAGGGATGGGGAATATGTGGTCCTCCAAATATTGATGGACTACATCTCCCATCTTCCCTCGCCATTGGCAATATTGGCTGGGGCAAATCAAAGGAGGAGCCCAACAACATCTGTTTGTTCTCCCTGACATGGTCTTCTTCGAGTTTCTAAGAAGGAGGGAAAAAAGCCAGACTGCTTTCCACTCGGTTAATGTGTATCCTTACTTTAAATAACACTGAAATAACCAAGCCACAAAGGGGAAGGGAGGCATGGTATTTCCCCCACAAAATCACGACTCCCTGGCCCCAGCCCTCTTATGTACCCATTTATGTCTATGATCTACGCAGCCCACCTAGTAGAAAGAGACCTACTGGCCTGAGCTTTTAAGCACTTTGAAGTGCCAGCACGAAGTGGCATCCTCAACCGGTTACTTTGCCCGCTGTAAGGAAGAGAGGAAAAACACTTGACGGTTACCTAGCAACTGCCAAACACCCTCCCAACCTGGAACAGCAAGGCAACCAGTTGCCGGTGCCATGCAGATTGCAGGATGCTGTCTGGCTCATTGCCCGCCAGTGTGTAAGGAGTGCTGTTCTGCTCACATGGTGCTCCCTGCAGGCCTTGCCCCCATGAACACAATGGCAAGGCCAGCTTCTTTCGAATGTTCTATAAGGGCTAAGTGTGCACAAGTCAGGGAGTTTGCAAATTTGTGGTGGCAGGCTCTTCCTCAAATCCACACGCACTCATGGGAACATCTGTTTGCTCCACGCTGCCAGTTTAATGCCCCACCCAAACCTCCCCACCACCATGTGTATTCCTTTAACTCAAATACAGAGTCTGAAAAGTGATTTCCCTTCATGCAGAAGATCTCGAGGTGCAGCAAAGCACTCTGGGACAAAGCAGCAACAGTTAGAAAATGCAGTTATCGTGGCAAGAAGTAACATTACAGGTGCCCTTGCCACAAAATCAGAAACTGTGAGGGGTGGGCGTATAGAGGGAGAGCAGGATTGCATATACTGTATAATCAGCACCTGCAGGCTTTACATGTCCCAGGTCTCTGTGCATCCAACGGAAGCTTCCCTTCCAGGGCTAAAAGAACCTCCCCCTTTAATGCGGAGGCTGCTTTTATTGGCGGCAAGGAAGGAAAAGGGCTAAAAACTCATACAACACAGTCCTGATACAGGAGCAATGACTGCTCCCCACATTAAACGGGGGCGCCCTTTGCGTGGACGCGGGCAGCGCCTGGACCATGTGCGGCTCCATTAGCACAGGCTTGGCTTCGCCTTCCCCCAGGTGGGATACCTGGAAGTCTCCGCCTACCTCAGTCAGTTGTCCAATCCCGCCTGGGGAAGCGTTGCCAAGGTGACCAGGCTAGGTAGGGGAGGGACTACCTGCCCACACAATAGAGGGAGGATCTTACCTGGGAATCTTCAGTTGGCTCCAGAGCTTCTCCCACCCTACCCACCCTCAGTTAAGATTTATTTTGCAGGTTAACCTTTTCTTCACAGGTATGCGAGCACTGCTACGTCAAGGTCACTGTTGAAGGGCCGGAAAGGAATTCCCCTGCATGGGAGGTTTTGCCTTTCCTGTAGCAAAACGTCACAACTTTGGCGGTATCAAACCTTGGGTGAAATCCTTTAGTCTATCTTCCTGTATGGGGGGGCGTGCAGCAGTGACCCACGCCCCCTTCCTCTTTGCGGCAGCGATACCAGGGTTCCCCGTTAAAGGGGTTTGTGAGGGGAGGCTTTGACCATACGCCGAGAGGTCGTCATTGCCCTCCCCTGCAACGGCAGCGTAACAGGGGCGGCTATCTCTGCTTGAACATATGTTCTCCAGAGCCGGCCCAAACACATTGGCTAATCCTGATGTTCCCCAGATCCCCGGCTGGGGACTGGGAGGGATAAACGCCCAATGCCTGAGCCAAGGTCTACCCACGTCTGAAATATAATAAAGTTGTGGCCAATTTAATCCCATAGCACTTTGTCTTGAGTCGTTATTCCACATGAGGGGGGGCCGCCCAGGGTTTGGGGGACTCCGCCTGTCCACGCAAACAATAATACGTTAAAAAGACCCAACCCAGAACACAACTTCAAGTGATGTAGTTAGCATTGTGTCTAGTGAGGGGGCCAATGAGAGGTGAGCATGCCACATGGGTCCTTCCCACAGCGCCCGATTTAGGGCAATGCAGGCAGTTGCCTTGCACAGGGCACTGAGCCAAGGGGCTTCAAAATTGAGAAGATCCATCGTTGAGAAGATCCGTTGGGGGCACCAAATTTTGACCTTGCTGAGTGTACCATATGACCAAAGATTACCAAAGTCTTCCCTGCCCCCCATTTTTATAGCACAGAACAGCATTTGCATTGAATATGGTGGTTTAATTTTTCAAGGCATACTTCAGCTATTCTCATGGTGGGCTATCACATCTTAGCACACACTTTGGAAATCCTCGATCTAACTTCTGTGTTCCTCTGCGTATTTTCCTCAGAAGACGTTCTGCTCAACAGAAAAGGGACTGGCTGTCGTTTAAGCCTGTTTGGAATCCCTGCATCAGGCACCAGCTTTTGTTTATAAAATAGGTGCAAGATTCAGTAAGAACATTTGTGTCAACCATAGATAATTGCATTTGGCACATGGAAGAAGCCAGACAGTATACACTGGTGATGATATGCAATTATAGGGGATGGAATTCTTCGTGCATCTGGCAAGGAAGTTTTCTAATGTGCAGAAATTTTGATGGAGGTTGTTTGACTGAAGGCTGTTTGCAATCCAATGTGACATTCACATCAGTATATATTCCTACTGGAGTACATAAATATGCACTCCAACAAGAACACATACAGATGTGAGTAAAGGGACTGAACATTTGGAATGTTCCCTTGATTTTTCTAGGAATAGTGGCTGTTGTCTATCAGGCTTTGTTTACTTTGCCAACGGCTTGTCATGAGTTCTCACAACAAAGGTTTTAGTTATAACCAGACCCAATAAATTGCACCAATGGTGTAATGATTTATACAAGAGCTGTGGGCTTATCCTGCTTTCTTCAATGCCTCACCCACTAGCTTCTCTTGTACCTCTCTGTACCCGTCAGAATGACCTTCATTTTTTCAAAATCTGGATCAAGTTATAAAACCTACCCAACTCCACAATCTGAAGTAGGTGTTAAGGAAAAGATACAATCATCAGAAACAAAGTCATCAGAAAGCTCCTAAGATTAGATAAACAAATTATACATTGGCCATTGATTAGGGTTGCCATACATCCAGAATTTCCCAGACATGTTCGGTATTCAAATGGTGAAATTAACACCAGGGGGGATTTTAAACAATTGGCAAAATATTTAGGTTTTTGCCAACAAGTTTTGTGTTTAAGTATCACTCTTTGCCTCTTGTGGGTGAATTCCAAAAAGCTCAACAACTTTTGTGTCCGGATTTTTACTTCTTGAATTATGGCAACCCTACCATTGATAGCAAAGATCAAGATTCAGAAATGTAAAAGAGAATGACTTGACAGATACCTTTAAGGGTTCCAGTGCAAAAACAATGTCAAATAATAATAATAATAATAATAATAATAATAATAATAATAATAATTTATTTATACCCTGCCCATCTGGCTGAGTTTCCCCAGCCACTCTGGGCGGCTCCCAATCAAGTATTAAAAACAGTACAGCATTACATATTAAAAACTTCCCTGAACAGGGCTGCCTTAAGATGTCTTCTGAATGTCAGGTAGTTGTTTATCTCTTTGACATCTGATGGGAGGGCGTTCCACAGGGCGGGCGCCACTACCAAGAAGGCCCTCTGTCTGGTTCCCTGTAGCCTCACTTCTCACAATGAGGGAACCGCCAGAAGGCCCTCGGCGCTGGATCTCAGTGTCCGGGCTGAACGATGGGGGTGGAGACGCTCCTTCAGGTATACAGGACTGAGGCCGTTTAGGGCTTTAAAGGTCAGCATCAACACTTTGAATCATGCTTGGAAACGTACTGGGAGACTTAAAAAACCAGGCAATGTGACCGGAGTCATTCAACCCATCCGTGTCTTGTCTTGTGAAAACCATCTTGCTTCTGGATCCTATACCTTTCTGGAACTTTGCACCAGGCCACTGAGAGCCACTGCTACAGGCAATATAGTTGCCATTTCCTGGCTCCAAGACCTGTGGGTGTGACATCATTCTGATGCAAGAATGCAATTCCCCATGGAAACAAAGCATTCATGCCTACAATTGGTTCCATGGTCTGGGAGTAGGCAGACATCAAATGCCTGACATTGAAACCAGAACATTCAGAATTATTTAGGCAGCTTGGCACAATAATATTCAAAAGAAGTTTCATCAGTTTGTCCCAACTCTTGAACCAATATAGATGCTGTCTGAGAGTTGAAAACAAAGAGATAAAGAAAACCAGCTGTGTATTGAACGTGGTGATAAACTAGAGGTTCTTCTGTCAACTGGCTTACACCAATAAAATTTCGGCCTAGAGATTATTCATGTTCACTTGGGGAAGATAATCCAGTCCAATGCCTTTGTTTATTATGGGTCTGCCTTGAGGTGGGAAATCCCCATTCACTGGTGACTGAAGAGAGAGTGTTATTCAAGCCATGGAAAAAGTCAGTGGGTGTGCCGCCCATCTGTAAAAAAGCCCAGTTACAGCTACGTTGCTTGTTTAATGGAGATCCTTAAAATTAATAGCAGGGTAAGCCCATTTGACAAGGCACTAACTAGTTGTTCTTAAAACATTTTAGTCTGTTGTGTTTTTGTGTTGATTAGCATGTGGGGAGCCGATGTAAATTGCTTGAACTCTAAAGTTAAGTCTCTTGCCTCAGAAAACCTTACAGCTTAGGAGTTTATTTTCATACTCAAACGTTTAAAACAATTAACTCATTCATGGGAGAGGACTTTAAACTGAGCTCATCTGAGTTAAAAAATATATATACAAGAGTGTTATTCATGAGTGAGCTTGTTTTCCCTCCAAATCGTGGGTTGCTTGAAACCAAAAGCTGAAGGAAAACATTGCTCTTAAACTTAATATGCTACTAGCCAGTGGAAGTGGGTGCAATGCCACCAGATTTATCTTCCCCTGTCATTTCAAATGCACGCCTCACCCAGCCTATGCAACCCTTCCTGCCATTTCCATCCTGCTCTTTATTTATTTTTAAAATGTAAAGCCAGGTTTGTTTGTTTAGACAGGTAGCTTTCTGCCCTGCTCAAAATTATTATTATTTTTCTGGTGTATTGGGATTTGACAGGGATGAAGAAAAACATCAGCCATTTCTTCCCGTTGTCCTTACCTCATCTTCAGGAGAATGTTTGCAGCTGTCTCTAGCGCCATTCGAGGCAGTAATTCATCTCCAGATGCAGGCTAAGGCCTAAAAACCTGCTGACACAGACACTTGCAGTTGCTGATACCTTGACTTCTAGACAGGCATGTTTAATTTGTACAATGGCCTCAACTTAAGACTGCTATTCCCTTCTATAAAACCCCAAGGCAAATTCATTGCAGGGTAGACTTTACAATCGGGGGCAAAAACAAACAGTAACACTCCAAAGTCCCTGCCCTGGGTTTTTCTTTTCTCTTTTCTAGGTAGCCAGTTAAAACTGAGGTAGAAATGATTCATGAATTAACCAAGAGTTGACAGGGAGGGTACGACTTGAACCAATGGCTTCAAGTTACAAGAAAGGAGAGTGCGACTAAACCAGGCATAGGCAAACTCAGCCCTCCAGATGTTTTGAGACTACAGTTCCCATCATCGCTGACCACTGGTCCTGTTAGCTAGGGATGATGGGAGCCATAGTCCCAAAACATCTGGAGGGTCGAGTTTGCCTATGCCTGGACTAAACATACAAAAAAACCTTTCTGACAATAAGAGCTGTTTGAAGTGGAACAGTCTCCCTCGGGAGATTGTGGACTCTTCTTCCCTGGAGGTTTTTAAGCAGAGGTTGGATGGGCATCTGTCATGGATACTTTAGCTGAGATTCCTGCATTGCAGGGGGTTGGGCTAGAGGATCCTTGGTAACCCTTCCAACTCTACAATTCTAGTATTCTAGAATTTGCTGCCTTAAGCAGAGTCCAAATGACACCTCCATGCTGCTATGGTCAACACTTTCAAAAGTCTTGCTACCCTATTCCGATACCAATTCTTGCTTTCATCTATCCCTCTCCACCATCCCCACTAATGATGCTGCCGGAAGCAGGTTGAATCACTTGGCTGTGTTCAGTGCCAGATTTACATATAAGCTAAACAAGCTATAGCTTAGGGCCCCACTCTCTTGGGGCCCCCAAAAAATGTAAAGGGGGGAAAACTGGATGTGCATTTCCAAAATATAAGATAAAAAACAAATGACTTTGATAAAATACATGTTTTGTTATGTGCAAATGGCTTTAGATACCTATTAGGTCCATAAATTACCATATAGCATATATTCAACACTAAAAAACAGCGACAATTTGTTGTTGACAAAGGACAGCTGGACATATAAAGGGCCCCATTACTTTCAGTCGCCTAGGGCCTCATCAAACCTAAATCCAGCCCTGGCTGTGTTACAGGGCTGGCCCTAGGAGTTATACATTTATACATAAGTTTATGTGATGGTACATGGTGTTTCTATCCTACCTTTCATCACGGAAGATCTCAGGGCACCAAACAGCATTATAAAACACAATAAAAAGTTACCAAGAACATTCCATTAGAACAGCGGAAATAATAATTCAGTATATCACCCATCTGTCTCGGTGTGGGCTCATACCTGAAATGGCTGATGGGAAGAGAAAGTTATTCAGCTGGTGCCAAATATCAGGAAGGTGGGCAGCATCTTGCAAGGGTTCCCCAAGTGTGCACCCAACCTCCTTACGAAGGAGGAAGATACCAGTTTGTGTTGGTGGCAAGGGGGGAAAAGATATAAAAGGAGAATTCCTGGATGCTGAAATCCAAGTTTGAAGCAGGTACTCTTTGGTGAGAGAAGTCCAGCAAGTATTTGAAAACACAAAACATGCAGCAAAGTAAAGCATGGACACATAGGCTGTTAGACCTTTAAAATATGTCTTTCCGAGTGAGTTCCAAAATAGTGCCCTCTTCCCCTGCATAGGAAAAGACCACTAGTTTACACAGTTTAAAACGGTTTACTTACAAAGCCTTAAAAAGTCAGGTTCATATGCTTTTTTCCATACATCAATCAGAAAAGCCACACAGGCAGTAAAACTTGGTTTAGTTCTAAAGTGGTGAAAATTTCCAAATTATTGTTATAGGAACTCAAGAGAGGCTTGTTAGAGCCATGCGGTCTGAGCAGCAGCAACCAGCACGGCAGGACAGTTTACTCTATGGCATTAACCCCTTCATGGATTAATTAGACTTAAGCATGTTGGCTATATGAGGCTGGTTATCCCACAGTTTGTTCCCTCCAAAGCAGTGTCTGTGTGTGTCTTGACTAGACACACTTAGGCTATTAAGACATGACTTAGACTTTGTAAGTCACCTGTTGCACATGACACATGCCTCTTAAAGAGACAGGCCACTTTATAGTACTCTGTGTAAAGCAGCTATAGGTAAGCAGGCTGACATCATATTGGTCATAATACAATCAGTGTTCCATCTGCCTGCCGACTCAAATTCCTGCAGCAACTTCTGCTTTTCTGAAGAGAATGGAGCAAAACACGAGCCTGTGTAAGGAAAGTGGAAACCCATCAGCAAAGGATGTTTCCAAGCACAAACATAAATGTGCTTGGAGAGACCCTGATGTATCCTTTTAATGACTAGCTGTAACTCACTGCTTTTACTTTTACTTTAGTAAAAAAAGGGGGGTACTAAACCAGGGCAAGTGGCAGGAACAGCTGAAAACATACTTGCCCACTCTCCCTACGACCACCTAAGGGCTATGAACATCTGGAACAATCTGAAGCAGAGGGAAAGTGGGTACATGCTAATGTTTTTCAGTGATGTATTCCGCTTTTTATTACCATGGAACTTTTGAGACCGGGATGTGTTCCTTCACAAACAGTGGTTGCTATATTGGAAATGGGTCACATTATTTGAGATCTGGAATGATTTGTGTAATGCTAATCCAAGGGGGTTTAAACTTACTAAGTGTTCTTGGCAATGTATAAGAACCTATGAGCCATCATCTGATCTGGGATTTCTCTTTTCTCTTTTTGGGAGTGGGTGGTGGTGGAGGAGTTAGGAAGAGGCAGTTTTGCACCTATAGGATGCTTGGAGATCATTCCCCTGCACAGAACCGTGTTGTCAGCCACAGATCTCTTTCCAATTTCCACGCTTCAATCCTGTCTATGTTTGCCATCACATTGGCTGAGTATTTAATCTCTTTGCTCTCCAGAAAACAGCTCTTTGTCTCTGTCTGTACCGTACAACAGAAGCAAGTAGCAGGATTGGAGATGACGAAAAGACCCTTAAGAAGAGCATGGGTAGGACATTACAGAAATAGGTCCCTTCTTTTTTTCCAATGATATGTTATTCAGTGTCAACATTAATACCATATACAGTCAAAAAACACAACTTCGTCTTTTCTCTTATTTTTGTCGACTTTCCACCCATTTTCCTATGGAGTTGTTGTTTCTCTTCTTCTGATGCACCCTGTCTTCTACCTACCAAATCGTAACAATATTATAATCTGATTACTTCTGTTGCTTATAGCTCTAATCCTGCTCACAAGTTCATCATTACTATTTCTTGAAATAGTTCAAAAAAGGCATCCATTCTTCCATAAAACATGCATTCTCTTAAAAAGCCCATTCTCTTAATTTTGCTGTTACTTAACACCCCCCCCCCAAAAAAGGTCCCTTCTGATACCTGGGTTCCAAGCCATCTAGGGCTTTATATGCCAGAATCGAAACCTTGAATTGGGCTTGGTAGCAAACTGGCAGCCAGCAGAAATCATGTGGTCTCCTACAAACAAGACAGTCTCTATAACCTGGCAGCAATATTTTGTTCTAGCTGCCATATCTCAGCTGTAGTCAAGGGCAGCCCTATGCAAAATGCATTGCAGCAGAATAATTGGGAGATGACTAAATGATGGATTACTGTGGCCAGTTATCGCTGTCCAAGAATAGCCATAGCTGGTGATGCAGCTGGAGTTGGAAATAGTTGCTCTGTGCAATTGGTGGCACTTGGGCTTCTAGGGACAGAGTAGAAGCAAGAAGCGTGCCCAGCCTGCAAACCTCATTCTTCCGGGGGAATGCCATCCCATCCCATCCAGGACAGGCTAACTAATTCATGGACCCAGAATGGCCATAGGATAACAGCCAGAGTGCCGTAACGAAACTGAGCTATGCACATGCAACAGTGAATGCATCCTTTTATTTAAAAACACACAGGCCTCCCATTCATAAATAGTTTGACAGGGATAAGGCTGACTAGAAGGCTTTCCCTGATATACTGGTTTTTTTTAATATAGAATATTTTTCTCTATATAGGGAATATTCAAACACAAACTCCTATATTTGCAGCCTGTTATGGTATAACCCACCAAGAGGCAATTTAAAACTGCTCTAAGAGGGTACGCTTTCACTAACAAGAAATGTGGGAGAGAGACACGAATATAAAAGCCTTTTTTAATTTTAATAGAATATCTTTTAGCCAATAATGTGAGGTCAATCTGTAATGGGAGACTATTGAATAAAGCAGACAGGCATAAAGATTTGACTATCAGTCTTAATGATGGCACATTGTCAGCTTCAGAAGCCATAATGTACTCTGGCCTTTCTCTCCCTGCTTTAATGCAAACGTTCATTCATATCAGCTCGCCGTGTCAAACTACACGGCAATTTAGTCCCTTACTTCATGGGTACACTATTGAACAGAACTGACTTGCCAGACCAGAAAATATATGTTTTATTTATTTACGTTGTAGATTTATGCACTGCTCTTTAGTATAAATATTTCCAGAGTGGTCCTTCCAGTGCAGTATTACGTTTCCAACAGTAGCCAGATGAAGGTCCTTCACAGCCTACAAAGAGAACATCATAATGATAATCATCACCTCTTGTTTATTATTTCTGCCCCATAATTCTGGCAGCTAGCACAACCAGACGCCGTCCTCTACCCCAGCTGCAACAAAACATGTCTCTCCCGTATCGGTCTCTACAGCCACTGCAAGCGCTGTAACCTTCCAACAGTTTGACTTTACCCCACAAAATGCACTCCTCCATTGTCTCCCGAGACAGACGGATGCCAACCAAACATATTACCTTAGCTCACAAAGGCTCCATTTCGCTACGATGGCAAATAAGTGATAACACTACAGATAGGGAATCGTAGAATTGAGAACTGAGATTCTTACATTGCAGAGGGTCATCTAGTCCAACCAAAAGCATCCATGACAGATGACCATCCAATCTCTGCTTTAAAAAATCCCAAAAAAGGAGAGTCCATCGCTGTCAAATGGCTCTTACCATCAGAAAATTCTACTTTGTGTTTAGTGAGTTGTGGGACAGTCAAGTTTCCAGCTGCATTTGTTTGTTCCTTTGCCTTTAACAGCAGCCAGAAACAAATAAATGAAGAGGGTGAATATTTTCCTGGCAGAGAGATAAAGGATTGAGGAAAAGAAATACCACAATTTCTGAGAGTTTGCCAGTTTGGATAAGATGCCCCTAACTTTTCCACTTCCTTCTGGAGCCAATGCTCAGTTAATGCCTTATTTTGCAGGTTAACTTTTCTTACAGGTATGCGGGCGCTGCTACATTAAGGTCGCTGTCAAAGGGCCGGAAAGGAATTTCCCTGCATTGGCAGGTTTCGCCTTTCCCGTAGCAAAACGTCACAACTTTGGCGGTATCAGGCTTTGGGCGGAATCCTTTTCTCCATCTTCCTCTTTGCAGCGGTGATACCAGGGTTCCCCGTTAAAGGGGTTTCTGAAGGGAGGCTTTGACCGTATGCCAAAAGGTCGTCATTGCTCTCCCCCCGGCGGCGGTGTAACGGGGGCGGCTATCTCTGCTTGAACATATGTTCTCCAGAGCCGGCCCATCCCCCACACAAACACTGGATAACCCTGATGCTCCCTAGGTCCCCGGCTGGGGACTGGGGAGGGAGAACGCCCAATGCCTGAGCCAAGGTCTACCCACATTTGAAATTTAATAAAGTTGTGGCCAATTTAATCCCATAGCACGTTGTCTTGAGTCGTTATTCCACATGACGGGGGGGCGCTCGAGACCTGGGGACTCCGCCTGTCCACGCAATAAACAATAACAAAATTAAGAAAAATGATAATTTGCTTCTATCTTTAGACATTCAAAATATCACCCAGTGTTTTGCAGCCAGTGCCATCTTTAATAATACATTTGTTCCATCAAAGGTTCAGAGATCTTTTTTCCAGTGCTGGCGAGAACGTGCATTAATAGTTATTAATGAATTTATGTACATGCTTGCTAAATGCCATTGTGTTCACATAGGAACTTAAAAGCACAGGTATGAAGTGGTGCTGAATTGCCCAAGAGCTTTCATTCAATTCTCAGTTGGTCACGTATTAATTTAGCAACCTGATATGCATCCTCAGAGCAGCTTCAAACACTATTGAAGGAGCATTGTCAGCCACATGGAAAGTGGTGCTTCTTGAAATGTTCAAATTGCAGAGATGGCTTCCCTGGTCTGATGCGCAAGAGATGGCTTGATGCATATGAGGTTGCTAAATTAAATGCACTACCAATTAAGAATTGACTGCAAGGATTTTGACAATCCAATGGCTCTTTATAGTGTTTTAAATCCCTCTGCAACCTGGATGATTCACATGTTGACTGGAGATGCAAGTTCCTCAGCACATAAGGAGGGCACCGCTCAGTAATGCTTACAAATAGCTTGGCAGAGAACCCAGAGCATGGAAGAGCCCATAGCTCAATGGGGCACACATGCATTATGTTATGTACTGAAGTTCTCACCCTGGGCCAGCAGGGGGATACTGTAGATAGTTTTCACTCAGGTCCACATATGCAAATAAGGGATCGAAAGTGACGTTCAGTGATTGGATAGTTACAGAAAATGGTTACTGTTGTGTTCTAGTGGAGCTCTGTATAAGCAGGCTGGCTGAACCCTTCAGTTTAGTTCTGTTCTGGCCTGTGAATAAATAAGAGCTGTTTGAAGAATCGCTGTGTCGTCTGATATGTTCACCCACAACTTAACACATTACATGCACAAAGCCCCAGATTCAGTCCCAGACAAAAGAAATGAAATGTCTGCCTCTTACAACCTGATGCAAAAGGGAAACAGTCTGGACCAGGGATCACTCAACTATTTTGGATTCTGGGCTGGCAACACCGCTTGAAGAACCAGTATGGCTGTAAAGCAGGACAACAAAGAATCTATTTGCGGTTATTGTTCTTTCTTAAAATAAATAAATATGGGTGTTAGCAGAAATGGTAAAGCTCGCTAATTATATAAGAATAAGTAATGGGCTACAAGATGATACATTCATTGAAAACCAGATAATATTTATTCAGTATTGGACCAACACACATAATGAGTCGGTGCAACCATTATTTTGTTTTCTTTTCATTATGTGATCATTACTGTAATTACGTTTTGTTTTCTTCCCGCAAAGGAAATATCAATTCAAGCCAACTATTTAAATATTCTATATGAACGTATGTGAAAGATTCTGCATGAAAAGAATCATCTGAAGAAAAATTAAAAAAGGAAGCCAGCAAGCCTTCCTCTTAGCCCCTTAACTTATCATTACAAATTAACAATTCTGGTTTCCAGTATCTCCAGCTGATGCATATAATATCACTGTAATATTACTATAAATAAATAGCTGTATTTTTATTTGACTTACTTTCATTTCATGAATTAATTTCAGGAAAGTTTATAAACTATGCTATATTAATAGAAAATCTCCTGGCTTTCCCTATATCGTTGCTGCTTTTATTTACTATGAGATTTTGTCCATACTTCGTCCCTCCACAAATTGTATGTTGGGATAGTTGCTCCTTTTCAGAACTTAGCGATTACAACCTTTGCTGCCAACAAATCTGTTCAAGTTTGTGGATTGTTGTTGTCTTTCTCCCAGTTGTGCTTAGCTTTGAGCACTCTGATATCAGAGCAGGAAAAGCAATTCATAAAATTGCATAAATCCATAAATTGATAGAGCAATGTGATTAAGCTCCCCAGCATGTAAAGGAGCCGACACAACCCAGAGCAAGATACTTTCTCATCATGTGGCTTTCTGAGTGTCCCAGAAACAAATGAACATAAAAGCATCCAACATCTCCCTCAAGATGATGAAATTATTTGTTGCATATTACCAGGGTCAGAAATTTCAGGCATTGCATTTCAGGCAGTCGTATTTGATACGTCCAGCCTTATATTCATATTGTGCAGGGCTCTGCCTTTTCTTAAAACATACAGACGGGAAACAAACCAAACCCTGCTTCGTACTGAAAACGCTGCTTTTGCCTGATGGCAAAAATGCATGTAGCCGCAGCTGTCTAAAATTAATTCCAATGTCTCCCCACACACATACACAAGCTTCTGGCTGCTTCCTCTTTGAGTAGCAAACAAGCTTCTATTTTGTCCTCCACTCTAATCACGATAGGGGGCTTCTTCAATGATTACATTGTTTTGGTGTGGTCAAAAGGTGAATACAAATGTTCGGTTTTTGGAAGGCGTATTGCTCATTGGGGATCGGAACTCATCATCCATATCAGAAACAGTAGTAAAACTGGAGGCCATCTGGCCGATTTACCTGTTAATGCAGAAGCAGCGGTCCCAGGGCCAGCTGGAGCAGACTTGCCAATGTTTCAGAAGTCCCCAATGCTCAGATTAATGGCCAGATGTTTCTAAAAACTCAGCCTTGCCAGTCTCCACTTTGTTGCTCCCACACCTTTTGTCAGGGTTATGCTTGCTTCTGAGTGTTCAGGATCATCTCATCTCTCAACTCTCTCGCTGAGACCATGCTAGGTATTATTTTTCCCACTGAATGAAATTGATGTTTTGGGTTTTTTTGCACTTGTAAGGGGAGCCTGGGCTGCATCAAGGAAATTGAAATGGACCAAATAGTGTCTAAGTGGGACTGTGCCCAGGATCTTGCTATCAACCCACCAGCTTTTAGTCTGAAAATAGACCGGGTGGGGGGCATCACTGAGACGAAATATAGGGAATAATGGAATTCACTTGAAGAATGGGCACCAGGATAAGCTCTCTTACAATCAAATGAAATCATGGTCAGGATGGGAATATAAGCAAAGGAATGAGAATGATAAAGGAATGGAATGTAGGCTATATATATTATAGAAATAAGTATTACATTTAAGGCAGTAGATAAAGGATTTGAACATCATGGAAATAAGGATGGGAAGTCAAAATAAGGGAATATTGAACTGAAACTGAATCAAATTTGTTGAATTGTTTGGATTTGTTAAATTGTAGGAAAATCAATAAAAATTGATGGAGGAAAAGATAAGAAATGAGGATAAGTCTCTTTTATTTTTATTTTTGCTGTTTTTCTAGAAAAAGAGGTGCCAGAACTCACCATGAACACCTCCCTTGTTCTCTTATAATGGCAATGGCGCCCACCTGAGAGGTGTCAGAACTGAGTTCCGGTGAGTTCCAGCTGGAAAAAAGCCCTGCACATACCCATAAACATTTATGCCACTTAGGTAAAGATAAAGGGACCCCTGACCATTAGGTCCAGTCGCTTTATTGGCTGAGAGAGCCAGCATACAGCTTCCAGGTCATGTGGCCAGCATGACTAAGCCACTTCTGGCAAACCAGAGCAGCACACGGAAATGCGTTATGCCACTTAGTATAGGTTAGATAGCTACATTTTGGTGCAGAATATACCTCAATTATTAGAAAAGTCCAAAGGGGGGCATTTGTACCTCTGCCCCTCAAAACAAGTTCTGTCAAGTGTGCCCCATATTGACGTTTCAAGTTATGTAACCGTCATGTCACACAAACATATACTGACATCACAATGCACACTCGCTAGTCAACAAGTCTGAAAATGGGATATCACTACACCTGACAGTAAAAACAGCAGGCATTAAGTCTACATAATAGAGCAGTCCAGCTCAGAGCAGAACAACTGATGATCCTTTCATTGCTACCTTGGAGAGAGGAGAAATGAAAAAGTACAAACAGCTCAGAGGAAGAACCACCAGTGTCAGGTTGCTTTCAGGATTGGCAATGCCCCCCTCCCCACTTCCAGGTTGTGGGCCTCAGGAGGTGCCTGGCAATGCCAAACCCTGATGCCCCAGCACCCATCTGATGTGCATGCCACATCGGTCCTGTGGGTGTTGTTTTCTACAAACAGGGCCCTTTTAATGTTGATCTCTGTGTGCTAAACCTCCAGTGCTCTGTCAGCACTTCGGCACAGTTGGGGAAGGTTACCAGGTAACCAGCTGCACACAAAACAACTGCACCTGGCATCTCAGAACAGGAAACCCCTGTACTTGCAAATTGAAAGCCGGCCTATGAATACAAGCACTGCAGAGAAACACCCTGGCCAGAGTGTTTCAGCGTGGATCCAATTAAAGTCAGCTGCTTTTTTCCCTTTTTTTTTAAAGAGTGCATTGTAAAGTGACTGTCAAATCACAATGAAAGCATCTGCAGGAAGCTCTGACCAAAAAAAAAAAAACCCGCCACATTTCCTTCAGCTGTGCAGGGAAAGCTAATTACAGGCAGGTTAGTACTCTGCATATCAAGTGCTTGCTACGGAGGTTCTTCCCAAGCAGGGCTGCTAATCTCCTGAGGGGCGTTTGAGCACCATATTTGTTCGTTTAATTCATTCAAAGCTTTTTGACCAAATCGTCTGCCTACACAGCACCCATTTTGAGGCATACCTGAGTGAATCTTTGTCCGTGGAGTTTTCTTGGCAGGGATACTGGAGTGGCTTGCCGGTTCCTGCTCCAGGAACCTATCCATTCTTAAGGAAATCAGCCCTGAGTGATCACTGGAAGGACAGATCATGTGCTGGTCCTGGGGGGGGGGTTACCATGCGGCATGGTCTGAGTCCGGTCCTGGGTCAAGGGTCTGAAGGCTGTCCGTCAAGGGCGAAGCGGGGTCCAAGGCAAGGAGCAGGAACTGGTTTCCAAGGATGTTGCTCCCGCAACCTGGGACTGGGCTGAC